ATTAGCAAGAGCTACTGCCTATCGAAGAGAAGTACAACTGGGTGGAGAAAACGTGTTATGGCAGTGTCCGTGATCGATTAAAGAAGTTGAGGCCTTATTTGATCCTTAACACATTTTCTGTCGTATGTATGCTTCGCATAACTTAGGATACGTGCTATCTGATCTCTTGACGCTAATCTCTATTCATTGTGCCTTCGCCTCAAGACATTTACTGTATTCCTACTCATTTTGGGTCGTCACTTCTTTCGTTTCCTCAAAAATTGATTTCCTCGAAAGTCATTGCAGAGAACGCCTACTCTAGAAGGACGGTTGTCTATGTTAATTAACGGGCATGTCTAGTGTGGATTGCAGAGTTTGTAAATGAAGAAAACGGTCAAGGCCGGGCTTGGCAAGAGATTCCTAGCTGAAAATCCATCAGATGATGAACCTTGGGAATTGGAGTTATTCAGCGATGTAAGCACTTACTTATGTATTGAAACAGGGGCTTTGGAATGTACTTTGATGGATCAGAACAATAGAAATGAGCCGGAGCTGGTATTTGTAATTGACAGCACCTAATTGGCGACAGAGTCCACCCAATGTGCAGAGACTGTTGTTCCCGGTCACTAACAACATGCTGAGTATTGAAGCGCTGCATATGGAATGGAAAGCTCTTTCTTGCATCTGGCACTAGGGAGGTCGAGGGTAATAGGAATTCGTTATTGGTTATTGAACATGGCTAACGAGAGATTGGAAAGTAGAAGAAAAAGACTGAGCCTTTATGTTGAGTACTTGTTGAAGAAGCAGCACTTAATTCTTCGACAAGATCACTTTCACTCACATAGGAAGAACCTATAACAGAATTCCAGATGCCTTGGCAAACTTAGCATCGGCGTGGCAGGATTTGTGTAAAGTTTCGAAGAAGCCATTTATCATTACCACAGCCAATATCCTATGCTATCAAGAACATTTTGTGAACCAGGTGGAGTCGGAGGAAGAACCCTGGTTTACGGATATTCTGAGGTGTATGAAAGACGGTACTTTCTCTGATGATGCGATGAAAGAAGACCGTGCGGTTCTCAGAAAAATGGCTTTGAATTATGTTATGGCAGATGGTGAACTCTATAGAAGAGCTTGGGATGGGATGTTGCTAAGATGCGTGAGTAAAATAGAAGGAGAAGACATAATGAGAAAAGTCCATGAAGTTTAAGCGGCATGAGCCTTAGAAAATTTAAATCATGAGCAAAGGTTATTTCTGGAGTGCAGCTGGAAGGTGATGTGTTTCAGTATATGCGTCATTCAAAGGCTTGCCAATATCATGACATAAAAGCCACGTTATTCTTGCTGTTGAACTCCATCCGACAACTCTTCTTGGCCTTTTCTGCATGGGGCATAGACGTCATCGGCAAAATCTCGCCAGCAGCATCGGAATGGCCATCATATATATTGGTTGCAGTTTGACTATTCTTAGATGGCATTGAGCTCACAGTCTTTACAACACTTAACAGCCAAACATGTGGCTAGATTCATGACAGATATTTTCTTTGCTGGTGTGCCCATCAACTAAGTATAAGATAAATGGCTTCTCTTTTTCAAGCAGATGTTTGGCCAGTTGCCTTTATAAGATATAACGGTGGCATCACCATTCTTCTCCTTTATCGCCTCAGGCTAATGGATCTCATGGAGCTGCGAATAAGGAGATCAAAGAGATCCTATCGAAGATGTCCGTGAAGGGTACAGAGCTGGGACCGAGAAAACTGTCCCTTCGCGCTCTGGGCATCGCTGATACCATTTTCAAATCAGTCCGAATTGGAGGCCTCTCCTTTTGAACTTGTAATGGAATGGAGGCAAAGTTGTTACCGATGAGCTCGAAAGGAGTCTCTCAGGGTTTTTGTAGAGGTTGACTGGAGGAGATGGGTCAGAAGAGGTATGGAAGATCTAGCACTCTTAGATGGAAAGAAGACTGTGCTCGATTCCGGATCAGATGAGAAAAAGAAGATTGCAATTTCTACAACAAAACGGTACATCCAAGTGCTTTAAAGAACGAGATTGGTAATTTGTCAGATATGGAACGAAGCCCAGGAATCATCCTGGTGGGGAAGTTTAAACCCAACTGGCATGGACCATTCAGATGTTACAGGAAGTTTAATTTAGCAAAGGCACCGTGAATTAGTCCACCATGGAAGGGAATGCCTTGTCAACAAATTGTCAACCAGGACAAATATAAAAAGACTAAATGATGATTCGCATTAATTAAAAAAATTTTAGCTAAGTTGAACACCCGAAGGGCGGGCTTAGGGCAAAGAATTAACGCTTGCTTAGGTTGAAAAACCCGGAAAAAGGGCGGGCTAGGCAAAGTTAGAGCCATTAAATATAAAAAATAAAATAAAACAAATTTCGGGATCACGTGGTGGTGGCTTTAGTTTAAATACGAGAATCCATTGCCTTTGCATTCGTCGATAAGAAATTTGTATGAATTGGTTGCTCAACGCATCAACTTGATCGAGGGAGAATAGGAAAACCGAATGTTTTGAACAAATGACCATTTGTTATTAAAATAAACTTTATCTTCTTCTGTATATAATGTTGAAAAGAAGTAAGGATTAATAACGGATTTTGAATTTTCCAAAATTTTTTCTTTTTTTTCCGGTATGGTTCAAAATATGCAAGACCTTCTTCTTCTGCTTATTTTGATCAAAGATCGATCATCTGGTTTAAAATGTTTCTGGTGTTGGTCCTGCCTAAAAAACACATGATTCTTCCAAAATCAGGAAGGAGAACCCATGTCTCAGTGATTTCCTGAGCAAAAACTAATAACAACTTAGTACTCATTTAGCACATACGAGAAGAATAATTGTTATTTTTGTCTATTTGTGCAGGTTAATAAAATAGTCCCCCCATTTCTTTTTGTCATTCCCATGTAAGCTTTTATCTTTACAGAATAAGTTCATTTCCTTTTATGAGCTTTCATTTAATTAACCGAGCAGGAGTCCCCCAAATAACTAACACAGCAACGATTCGAAGAAAAGATTTATTTGTCTTTTGTGATTCATGTGATGCAGATATTCATAGACAGAGTCATGGGATTCATTAATTTAAAAGGAAGCAAATAAATTAATACTCATTGGCCTGAGCATAGGGGAAAGAAGATAAAAAAGCAAGCAACAACAACAGTATTTAGTGGGGACTATCAGCAGAGCGCCCAATCTTCACCAGAGCATACGTCATCATGGGGTAAAGAACAGTTGCATATTGCAGGTGTCTTGGGTTGTCCTGCATGTCTTCACATAGTTTACATGGTGGTCTCGATCTGCAACCGGTCGGGCAAATTGCCAACAGATACCGGTGTTATAGACCACTTTCAAAGTTATGGGTGGATTCTGGGAACACGCTGTCTCATCCCAAATAATCTGGGAAATAGGCCAGTAAGCGATATAGATTGGCATACAGCACTTAATTGAGGTTTATACTTCGGTATTGTGACCAGATTCTTGATCTCCCCAAGGACAAGTCATCGGAATTGTAGGGTTATCCCCAAAATCGAGCGTCTCCGACGGACCAGAGATTGAAAGTGGCAGGTCCACTAGGTTGGAATTGAAAGCGGCAGCTGGAGATAGGAGGAATCAGGCTTAATCTTGTCTTAGAGCCTGGCTTGCAATAACAGTGCAACCGCGATTGGATGAACATGAAGATGTGACCGTTGACGTGAAGGGCGATATCCCTAACCCAACACATCGTTTCTCCCATGATCATCATGAAGACAGTATGATGGTACATTTGCATGTCACGAACAACGGTCTGAAGTCAGAAATCTCCAATTTCGGGCCGGCGATTCTTCATGGAATACACATTCAACAGCAAGAAGCAGCAAGCTCGAATCCAAGAGGGATCTAGATCCATGGGCAGAACCCTGCTCAGGAAAAGCTCCAAGGGAAGGCCTTGATCTGTGCTTATGCCATCAGGAAGGTAAATCGGACACAGGGCCACAATCTCAGCTAGATCATACCTAGGACCTGGGGGTAAAGCCGGAGTTTCGTCTTGTTCAGGATGATGATCTATCACGGCACATATCTCCTCGTAGGTCGGAGTTACTTCAGAGTCTTCATGGTGTTTTAGGATTAAAATGAAGTAACAATTGCCAAGACCAAGAAGCCATGGTCGGGGTCTTTTTTTTTGTTCTTTTTTTTTTTTTTTTTTATTTTTTTTTCTTCTTTTATTTTTTTTATTTCCGTCGATGGCTCTATCGCCGCTCTGCTGTTCCCTGTGCCTGGCATATCGGTTCCGGGATTCGTCAATTGCTCGCTATACTGACTCCGTACCTCATCCTGGTGTTTAAGTCCTTGAAATATTTTCAGCAACGGTTGGTTCTCATAGGAGGTAATTTGCCACGTAGGTCGTCCGGGATGGATTGGACGAAAGACGATGACAAGCCATGGAAAGTGAAGGCCATGGAAAAAGGTTATTTAAGAAACTGATCTGCTTTGAATGCTGGAAGTGAAGAAGATGTAAAGAGAAGCTTCTATTTATAGAAGTGTAAAGGAACCGATGAACGAAGCATCATCATTACTCGACTTGATATCCACTGTCAATGGTAGTTGGAAAGACATTCATGTATGGATTACTCCAGCTGGTGAGCATTTAAATCCGCATTAATCAATAAGAAGGACGGTTTGTACAATAAGGAGGTTGAGTTTTTATGACCACATTAACCGCCCTGTCAGGTAAGCACTACGATCCGCTTCTGTTTAGGAATTAATTTTTGTCGTATTTCATTTTAAGTTCATTATCTTATTCTTTATTTATTTCATTTCATTTTATTTGTTTAATTATAATAAATCAGTTCATTGACTGCTAACAAGGTGGACTACTCTCATAAATAAATGGGACACCGCTATTTTGTGTTGTTGTGTTTGTATTTTGTTTTTGCAGGAATAAGGTCTCACAGTTGCAAAACATAAACACATATGACAATGTAATAAAAGCAAAATATTGTAAAAGCAAAATATTGTAAAAAAAAAAACAAAAAAAAATGTGTAAATGATATCATAAAAATAGTATAACCGTACAATCATCCTAAAAAACCACTAAATGTTCAAAAAATGTTCCAAAATGGCTGAGACACGGGAGCAGGGCTACCGTCGCCTACGGCTCGGACCAGCAGCCGCCTGAGGAGGTGGAGATGGTGGTGCGTCATCGGAAGAGCCGTCATCGTCCTCATCAAAGGAGTCTAAGGGGATCCCCTCTACCTCCAACCTCGTCCGGAGCCGTTCCATCTCCTCCTAGAGTCGGCTCACAACACTAGACTGGCGAGACTGATGCCTCCGCAGCCTCCCGATCTCCAGGTCCTGTAAAAACAGAGATATGTAAGAAAAGGTGAGCAAAGAATAAAGAAGAATGCAAAAACACATGAAGATCATGCATACCCTCTCAAGAAAAGGTGAGCAAAGAATAAAGAAGAATGCAAAAACACATGAAGATCATGCATACCCTCTCGTGGCGCTCGGAGTAGAGCTGGGCAATGTAAAACCGAGCAAAGCCGAACCTCTGGCAAATCTCGGATGATCAGGAATCTCAATCCAAACTTATGTGAAAAATGGTTTATCATCACTGAGCCTTTAGGAGCAAAATTTGAGCGTCTACACATGTACATACATAATAATCTCATATCCATAGGATAGTGAACTTCAAACACCTCAAGTCAACCATATCCATCCTGATCTAACATATTCCAATATTACTAAAGTAGTCAAGTAAGTAAGCGTACCTAGTGCATAGCATTAATCTTTCCGTAGCATAATACTAAATTAGTACTATTATATCATAGTCAAACATAGGAAAAGTATATACACATTTCACAGTAGTTCATCAGTCATACAAGTCAAACCCTAATCATGTTTATCTAGATCAAGCCATCATAAAGATCCTTTCATCAATATGTTTAGTCATGCATACAACTTAACCAATGCTTAGGTTATCATATGAGATTGTAGTCTCATTTAGAAAAGGGTTTAAAGAAAGATTACCTCATAGACACGTTATATATACATTTAGGGTGTTTAAGCATTATTTGAAGGTTCAAAACATAACATTCTAGACAGCATGGCCATGCCAAAAAAGCACATATCATACCAACAGTCAGTAAAAAGCACGGGTTGGGCGTGCTAAATAGCATGGTCGTGCCAGATAGCATTGCTTAGGCGTGCTAAAAAGCATGGTCATGTTAGAAGGCCAATTTCAGTACACACACAGGTCAATAAAGAGCACAAGTTGGGCGCGCTAGAAAGCATGGCTGTGCAATCTTGGTTTTCCTGTTACGAAATTTTACCATTTTTAAGCCTTTAAACTTAGCATATCAATCCTTCTTGAACAAAATATTCATTGACACTTAAAACTACATAGATACACATTTATTACAAGTAGAAATACTCAAGGAACATTAGTTATTTCAATCACCTCATCAAACTCAATCAATCCAATCACTTTACTAAAAACCCAAATACAATCTTTCAAGACACTAAAATAAAGTATAAGGCAAACTCAAATGGTTCAACACACAAGAACAAATCAAAATAACTTCAAGATAGTATTAATCATCAATCCAAGAGCCAAACATCAAACATTCACCATAAACCTTAAGATACTATATTTCTTTTAAATTCTTTCACACCACATTGTTAATTTATACTCAACAACTTGCATAATCTTACCAAAATTAAGGAAAATCCAAATATCCCCATGATCACAATCACACAAACATAAACAATAATCAAATCAAACATATAATTGAAGAGTACTAACCTCTAATTACTCTATAGCAAGCTCAATAGCAAATTCAAGCCTTCCCTTTGCCCTTATCAACTTTAGAAGGTTCACCCTTCTCTACGGCATAAAAACACAAACAAAGTAGACAAAATACAATAATTAGAGATTTGAAATCTCCTAATTACACAGATTTTGAATATACAATTAGAATTGAAAACAGATTCACGGATTGCAAAACAGAGACTTACCTTGTTTACAAAATGCCCTTTCTGCAGCTATAGCCTAATTACACCCTTGATTTGCTAGTTTAACTTACTAATCTTAGCTAACTAATACTTGATTTATTTTTTGTTTATAGATTTGATGGTAGAAATCACAGAAAGAAGAAGAAAGCTCTCTGTTCCTTTTTCTTTCCTCTTTGGCGTTTGTGTGTGAAGAGAGGGGCGGCACCCTCTTTCCTCAAAGAGTGTCGGCCTCCTCTTTTAGGTTTTAGCATTAACCCTTTTCTTATTATTTATTTTATTTTTATATTAATTAAGTTAGCCCACACACACTAAACCCACTTAATTAAATTAAGACCCAATTAAAAAGCTAAAACCCAATGAATTAAAGTAAAAATCGTATTTTAACAATTAATTTCTCAAAATAATAATACTTATTAATAAATATCACCAATGATCAATAAATTCTAATAATCAATAATAAATACAAATAATGATTTATAAATACTATTAATTATTTTAAAGTACCAATTTAATCATTTAAATACTCAATAAATAGGGAAAATCATATTAATTTAGAAAAATATTCTAAAATCAAATTAACATTATTGTCAATCCCAAATTCAAATAACTAGGTGCAATTAGAACTATATCGCATCTAATCTCATAATTAGGCTTCCTAAGGTACTATTCCACAATTCGCAATCCAAAATCACTTAATGCATGTATAATCAAACTAATGACATGTAATGCATGAATCATAATTAAGATTCAATAATTAGGAAAATAACTTATCCGAATCGAAATTCATACCAAAACTCTAATTTGGTACCAATTAGCAATCCAGTAAGCTATTATTCATAATTTCAAAAGTCAAGACGTTACAGATAGGACTGGTCAAGTGAGGATTAGACTAGTTGGTCATGTATAAGGATCAGCTCCCTAGTGCACACGTATGAGAGGATAGGCTATGTGTAAGGACGGGTTGTGGGCGGTTTTGTGATGCCACTGACCAATCTCCATTTGATGTGCTTACTTGAAGGTGACATCGTTGAAGATTCTGATGCTGTGACATAAGCATGATTAATTATGTGTTCATTATACAATTTGGAAAGTATTTTATGTGACTGTTTGGGTTATGCATTATTTATTATTATTCACTGAGTTTGTGAAACTCAACCCTTTCCTTTAAATTTTTCCAGGAGGTAGACATTTTGCTAATCCAAATAAGCTCTGCATCCTTCTTCGCAGAGACTCAATAGTAATTTTCAGCTTTTGACAATGTTAATATATATAGTATTGTGTGTGTGAACAATCTGCGTCCATTTATCGGGCTTCGCAATTAGGATCTTTTGCTTTACATCTTATTATGTAAAAATTAATAGTGTGCTAGTCAGTAAACCAGTTAATTATATTTTATTTGCCTCTTTAAAGGTTATGAATAGACCAATTTGCCCATATTATGAATGAAGTGAATTATATATATATATATATATATAAGTCTGAGCTAAGAATTATATGAGATATTAAAGCTGGGCCAAAGATATAATTTGACAGATTTACTAAATAACGTCGAAATATGGGCTTATTTTTCCTAGATTCAGCTATTAAAAGAAATGAGTTTTCATAAATAAGGCTTACTACAGGTCTCGGGGGCCTTAAGCTTATCTGGGCCCTAGTGCCGATCTGGCCCACGGTTTGGATCATAACTTATATAAAAAAATCCGATTGAATCATATTGAACCCGGTTGAACGTCCCGATTCAACGAAACCCTGTCTTCACCGGTTCAATGACCGGTCTGGTTCTCAAAATATTGCTAAATATATATGATGATGAGACATTTGAAAATCTTTATATTTTGTTTTTCAAATTTATTTTTTAAATATTTAATTCTATTTTGATTATAATTTAAAAGAATTTGTTAAGGAGAGAGATAAAAAATATATTTTTTTATTAATAGTCTTTTGTATGTTTGTATGATTTGATTGAATATATTTTTTAAAAATAAAATTTCAAATAGAATATACATAATTAAACCATGTAGAATTTTTAATTTTTACTTTTTAAAATTTATTTTTAAAATGTAGAATTTTTAATTTTTACTTTTTAAAATTTATTTTTAAATAAAATAAACATATATGTGTGTGCGATGAAGGAAATTTTTAATTTTAAAAATTATGTATAATATTTTATTTTTATATCTATGTATCTATATACAAAGTTGAAATAAAGAGAAATTTTATAAATGTCAACTTGGTACTCCCTTTTTTAGCATTTTATTTGCTCTTTTTTTTTTTTGCAAATAATATTTATTAATTATAAATAAACCAGTACAAAATGCAAACAAGCAATATCATTGACCACTTATTATAAGGTAATCATAATTTTGTTGAGTTTCAATATCAATAATACACAGCGGAATAAAATATTTATAACAAAATAATTATACCAACAGGGGGTACGTTTAAATGATTAAAGCAATAAATTATTTAGAATAATAACTCTTTTGCAGATTTTTCGAAACTCCAATCTATGGAGCTATGTTATCGCAAACCCTAAGCCGTTCAAGTGTCCAGCCTCTAGTAGTATCCACACGAATGGACAATCAAAAAATTCTAAAACTATTTTAGAGGATTGAAAGATTAGAGTGTATAATGGTGCTAGCTATCATACGCTCTATGTTTAATTTTGTGGCTATGAGCAACAACTCCTACAATCTTTAGAATGTGTCTTAAACCTCATATATGAAAACTCTACGTCATAAATAAATTAATTATAAATATTTATTTAAACCTTCTATATAAATAAATTATAACTAAAATATATATGTCACTATTTATTTATTTGAACAATTTAAATAAATAAATCATAATACATATAGTAATAAGATTTTCAATTTAATCAATTTTATTTATTTTTCAATTTAATCAATTTTATTTATTTATTTAACTATTTAAGTAAATAAATCATAATTAAAATATTAGGTTTAATCTAAAATTTATCTTAATAAATTTTAGACATGAATCAATTAAGTCAATTCTTAATAATTTAGGTAAAATTATAATTAAATATAGATTACAATTTTATCCTTAATTTCACAAAACTTATTTGAAATCAAGTCATATTTGATTCGATTTCTCATTTTCACTTGCTCATATCTATTTTTATGTATGTGACCTTTTAGGTTTCAAATATGTTGGCAACAAATATGAAGTGAATTAATTAATTAATATTTAAAGGTCAAGTACATTGTCTAGCAACATGTAACGACTATCCAAATATTGAGAAAGTCAAAGTGGTTTGACTTAACCTTTTAGTGTATGATTTATCAATGTAATTAATATCCCTTTATCATTAATTTTATGATTTAGTAATCATGCATAGAGTGTGTCTGCTTTACTAAATCATGTTAGTTCTCTTAATCTTAGCCATTGATCGTTTGAATGAAATTTCAAATCTAATTTGCTAATTTCATTTTTCATTCTACTTTACACAAGGATTTCTTAATCAATACTGATATAGAATAATTAGAACTTTTTTCTTGATTGACCTAGGGTAATGAATCATCTCATAATTACACAAATATCTCTATACAGTTCTTACTATGTCCAAAATATCATTGCTTATGACTCATGAATGAATAATGGGAACAAAGAATCAAAACATAGTCACTCTCATACAAGATAGCTTAGTAATTTCAAGTCAAAGGATCACTTATACAACCATCACTTGGGTATTCCATAGACATAGGTAACTCTCCCTATGGAATTTTCATGCAGGTCAATTCAGTGGACTTCTTTAAATAACAAGCACCTACATATTAGTTTTAGATATTACATATATCTCAGCTTATGAGAACATCTACTTTCCTAAGGAAAGAACACAATATGTATTAGTCTCAATAGCTCTAATCATAGTCCAATGATGAGGAGAATATTGACCAGGAATATTTAGAGACATTGCTCTAATGCAAAATAAAACTCATAATTATAACCATATTATAATTTATTTTGTAAAGTAGTATTGTCTCGTGGACTTTATCTTTTACCAAGATTCAATCATCTCGTGGACTTTATCTTTTACCAAGACTTCAATCAATAGAATATTTAAAAATATAATAAATGCGACTTTTTTCTAATAATAATATTTAAAGAAATTATCCAATTTATAACGATTCAAATTGGCTATAGGGATATAACTAACCAAGTTTTTTTTGAAAAAAAACCAATACATAAGAGATGAAAAAACAATGGATTACATTCAAGTATTTGATCTAAACATCTTACTGCTATAAGGAAAAAGAGTTAGATATTTATATATATATATTAAAAAATATTATAAATTTTCATCACACCATATTTATTAAAAAAAAAATACTATACGTTCCTTGATATGTGTTATTTTATAGTATTTTTTATATAGTTTTATTTGTTTAGTATTTTTATTACTTTTATTTGTTTTTATTAGTTTTATTTATTGTTTTTTTTTTTTAAAACCTTCCATGATCACATTCACTTGATATTGAGAATTTTGTTGCATTTTTTATAGGAACCGCCAAAAATTACAAAATACAGAAAAGAGTGTTCCTAAGCAAAGGCTAGCACGCCCAAGCCATGCCGGATAGCACGCCCGTGCTGAATGCCTGACTTCATATTGGGCCAAACACGATAACTCTAGCCCATGTCGCTTGCATGGACCCGAATGAGATGCTTTTCTAATGTGCTAATCAAGTTTAAATCTTATTTAGATACTGGAAGAGTCCTAATTGGGAAGAAATATAAAGCTTAAACAGTTTTTTATCTCCAAAAGATTTCTTACTCAATAGAGATTCACTTTCCAAAACTTACACGAGGATATTCCAGAAAGTCTATATAAAGAGAGAGACTAGCCATGATCAGGGGTCCATGATCAGGGGTCAAATCCATTCACTGTATATTCCATCTCTTGTTCTATTATTTTCTACATAGAATTCAAGTATTCAAGATTGGTGTCAAGAGTCAAGGAAGTCGTTCAAGTCTATCGTTGACTAGTTTTTATTTCTAAACTCTCTTTTTGTTTATTATTCTTTATGGGAGTATTTACAAGTTTAATTGAGTTTTATTTAATTACTATGTCGAACCAAACTCCTATACTAGGGATTTGATGTAGCTTAATTTCTTTTCCAATTTATAATATTAGATTTGTTTTTCTTTGTTCAAAGTATAATTTATTATTGTATTTGAACTTTATGTTTCTAGGGCAAGAATTTCTCCCCTGGA